AGCAAAATAATGCAGCACATTAAATTGTCACGCAAGGAAGTAACTGTATAAAAAAAAACCGTGCATTACGTCTAAATGAACTCAAATCAATCAAATATAATTTTGTAAATTGCATAAACAATTATGAACAAAACAGTATCATGTATTTATGCATTGCTTAATACAAAGAGATTGTATACAAAGAGATTTTAAAGGCAGAAGAAGGTGTACCGTCGATAAATATCGATACCGTTTTATCGCCCAGACCTACTGTAAACATGAGTTTTACATACTGCAATAAGCCAAAACTATTTTCTGTAGTAACTGACAGCATGAGAGACCTTGACCCCAAAGATTCGTTCAATGCGTGTTCTGAGAAAGAATGAAATTGATCTCAGATACGGTTTGTGAATATTAAATCTACTGGAGTTTCTGTCAGAGTGAGATCAGAGTTGGATTAGAATGTCATCAAGGACTTATGTGAACAACAAACTCATCATTTCTCATCGTCTCTGATGACAGAAGTGTGAAGCATCATTACTGATTGATTCCTAGTCTCTAATAGGAAGTACCTCCTCTTTGTCGGTGGTCACATCCATCTCCTTCTCATCTGCTTCTTCTGTTACTGTGGTTGTTATGGTCTCTTAAGGTAGCTCACTGACATTGAGCACACCAGCGGTGGGGCCCCTTGAGTTAAAACTTATACTGCTCGCTAGATTGGGGAATCGCACACCTGAAGACATGCACACTTTAATTTCCACACCACTAAATATCAAAACTGATCTGATTTGTTCAATAAACTAACCATTAGATGATCAAATCATTCCAATCTCAGACGTACCTTTCATAACATTCCCGTTGCCCTTCCTCACTACATCAGTATCCAGATCTGACCTCAGTTCAGTCACGATGGTATCAGTGAGGTATGAGGGGAGGCCCTGGTGCTCTGGAGCTCTGCTGTGGCAACTCAGTTTTGGCCTAAAACAATATCACACAAAGCTTAAGAAGACAGAGACTAGAGGCCAGAACTGCTGATTCAAGTTTAACAGTGTATTTACAGCATCACATCATCTGAAACTCACCCTGTCCAGTCATTGAGGAATGTGTGGCTGCCAGCTCTGTGTTAGGAACGCCTCCTTTCTGCAAGAAGCCTCGTTTTTTGGAAAAGGCAGTCAAGAACTCTAAGGAGTTTCTGTAGTCTGGGACATTATACTGTAACATTATCTGAAAGAGACACATGAGAAAAGATTCTCTTATTGTATGAGCTTAAAGAGAAACTAACCCCCTTAAAAATACAGTAAATTGACCCCTGAAAAAGTATTTCCACTGTTGAAGTTTTGCTACATTCTATGAAATGCCCCTTCATTTTAGAAACTGGACATAAGTGATGTTGATGCTTTCAAAATGAATAAATTCCA